GAATTTAGTTTAGAATAATTTTTTTTTATTAGTTTTCAAGATTGAGGTTTTTAAAATCACAAAAAACTTAAAAACAAAAAAATCAACATAAGCCTGCCATTATGGAAAAAGCTAAGATGCCAAGTTTTTTTTCTTTAAAATATCTATAGTAGACATGCTGTTTTAATTTATCTATAGTAGGCATGATGTTTTAAAATAATTAAAGTATAAAACCAATTTATTCAAAAGTTATTAGTGTGCTCAATGTTCTTGAAAGTACAGAGCAATAATAAATTTGTAGAAATCACTTACCAAACTTTTATAATTTTACACTGTGTTTCATCGATAAAGGCTCATCAGAAATTTTTTATAAATAAATAATTTTTCAATAAATAAATAAATACTTAAATATAATTTAACTAAATAATAAATAAATTGTAAAATTTTAATATAAATGATAGAAACTAGGCTGCCTAATTCAAAAAAATTTAACAGCATCTTTTAAATAAATTCACTTGGACGTATTTCATTAACATAACTGTGTGTTCAACTTCATTTTTTGTTTTGTATAAAAAATAAAAAGTCCAAAGAATGAAGTTTAAATACTATACTGAATTTACTAATAATTTTAGAAAAATTATAATTATTATAAGATAAGTGCACAAAAAATATGGGTTAGACAAAATGACTGGTAAATGCATTTTTGGTGGAAAATGTCTGATGTTCGGTGGCTAACACATGGAATTGACAGTCAATAGTTTACTTTGAACTGTTGAAAAAAAAAAAAATTTTAATTTTATCTCAGTTTTAGTTCTGAACTGAACTGAACATGACTAAACTTTATAAATACAAATATAATGTAATGCTTGAAAATAAACAAATTCATACCCTTTTGAAATGATAATTTTAAATCAAACCAATGCATTTTTAAAATTTGTTACTTGCAAGTGCAAATAACAAATGTTTTAACTATCTCCTAATCTTATTAGTTTAAAAAATTTTTTCTGCGCATTAGGATTTACTTAATTAAAAAAGTTTAATATCATCCAAAAACTCATGATATCATCCAAAAAATTTATCGCTGAATCTTTTTTAAATATTGAATCAATTTTTTAAAAATATTTAAAAAATGTAAACTAAACACTTAATAATAAGAAATTGTTTTATAAAATACTATATAAAATATATAAAATACTATAAAATAAGATAAAGATATGTTGTATGAAACAAAGTTTTTACTGAAATTGTATTTCAAATTTAAGTTTATAGAATTTCTATTGTATATATATATATATATATATATATATATATATATATATATATATATATATATATATATTTAAACAATTTTAAAATGTATTCTACAAAATAGAGTGCTCAATGATGTTCTTAAAAAAACAGAGCAATGCAGGTGCTGTTTTAAGGATGGACCAATTCATTATAAAATCATCAATATTTTTATCTTTTAATTCCCATATATATTTTGACAGCATGGTGTTTTTTGAATACTTTTTTATTTTTAAAGGATTGCTTATGATTGGCAAAACGTTTTTTCCATTCACCCTCTGTTATGCCAATATATTGTTTATCAGGTATATTCTTAGAAGAAACAACACATTTATATACCATATTTTTAGATAAACAACTTCCACTCATTGAACAATTGTTTTTATGTTTACAATTACAATTTTCTGTAGATTTTTCATTTAGGATTTCTTTTTTGTTTAACAAAGCATTATTATGACCTTTTATAATTCTTTCTATATTTTTGCTATATGAAACATTTTTGCTATATGAAGGGTTGAACCAAATTACATTTCTAGTTCTATTTTGCTTTTTTGTACGCTTTTTTTCAGGGTCAAATTTTAGTTCAAAATTTTCAAAATGCATACTATGTCTACAAGAAAAATTTGAAATTATTACACATGCAAACCAAGAATGTTTACTAAACAAAAAATCAGAATTAATTTCTAAATGCAGGCACGAAAATAAATTTCAAAAAATAAATAAACAAAAAATCAGAACTAATTTCTAAATGCAGGCACGAAAATAAGTTTCCCTAAAAAACTATAAAAACAAGTGAGCTCAAATAATAATTACATTAAATCCCCTCTTTTTAAATAATGTTTTTTAAAAAAAGAAGTAATCAATTCTAAAGAATTCTTTTTATAATAGTGTCAGCATATTCCACAAATGTGTGAAAATTTACAGTAGTTATGACATTTGCGACTTCTTGTAATTTAATTTTTTTAGTATAAATTGAAGTTTTATTAATTTGATCATTCACTTCTGATGAGTCTTTATTGGTGAAAGAGTGTTAAATGAAAAAATTTTTTGCTAAGTGATTTTCTACTACTTTATATATATATATATATATATATATATATATATATATATATATATATATATATATATATATATATATATATATATATATATACATATATATATATATATATATATATATATATATATATATATATATATATATATATATATATATATATATATATATAAGTTGGTGTATAACAGAGCAATATTAAATAAGTAAAAACGCTTATCTAAACTTCTCTTACAGTGTATTTCACTTTCTGTAGGTTCATCAGGAAGTTTCCTGATAAACAAAAATATTGATAAATAATCTTTATCATATATTAATGCTTATGTTGCAAAAGAACAATTTTGGATTTTATGTTCTGTAAAAGCATTATATTGAATAAATATTTCATAATGAAGTTTTTTTCTTTTTAAATAACTTTGTTAGTTGTACAAAGTCAAATTTACATAAATAGAGGAACAATTTATAACAATAGTCAAATACAAATTTAGCAAATATAGTAAAAGACTTATAAAATAGCATCCATAAATCCTGTTTCTGGTAAGGGTGGAGTAATTCCAACACCAATACTGCAAAAACAAAAAACAATTATATAAAATAAATATTACAATTCCAAAGTACTTAAAATTGGTATCGAAAAAAAAGCAGTACTGTGATGCAAAAATTGATGACATTGTTGGAATATAACTTGATGTAAGACAAAGCAAAAGCTCCTAATTTGCAACTAGCCTTGAACCAAGGCAAGTCAACTTTTGTCATTGTCATAAGATTACATCTGTTTCTCTTTTCTACAAATAGTATTATTTCTAATTCCATCAACCAAAACTTATTTTTGCTTGACTTATCATTCAGCTAAGTTGCATTCTTTCACTGTATTTGTCCCTGTTCTAAAAACTTTTATTCTCCTAGTTTTTTTAGTTAGTTCCCCCCCCCCCCCCCCTCCCCACTTTATTCCTTTATTCTCTCCAATCTTCCTAACTCATAAAAGCTACAACTTTTTGAGTCTTCTGTCAATGGTTTCTTTGTTCTTTAGCTCTATTCTTTGTTTTGTAGTAACTCCCGACTTTATAGTGGTTGCTTGCAGCTTTGTTGGGTATCAATTACAATTTTTAGAAAAATAAAAAATTACTTTAGTAACTTGTACAAATAAAAATGAACTTGAATGTTTCATACTAGTTAAAGTGATGATTTTAAGCAATGATTGAAGTCAAAAAATCAAGCACTTGATATTTAATTTACAGTATAATTTTAGTGAACTTTACACTATTTAATCTTTTAAAAATAAACTGATTCATATGCTTCAACATTTACAGCATCCAAATGTCATTGGTAATTACTCTTCCCTGCCGAATAACAGGATGATGAGGAGACAAGGGAGAAATAGGGGTGCGAGGAGGGGAGGGGAGTTTTTTTAGCAACCCCTCTCTCCTTCTTTGGAACTTACCAGGTCTCCCCTGTTTAATAACTTTGAAGAAATATAAAACAGTTTTGAAATTTTTTTGCTATAAGAAATCATTTTTTTCTTACCTCAAAATGTGTTGAATTAAAAACAAGTTTATTACTTAAAAACGTTAAAACATAAATCTTTCATCATAATTAAAAATTTGTGAAACAAATTAGAACTAGTTCTAATATAATGCTAAAATAATAACAACAACATTTTTAAAAATAATAACAACATTTTTAAAAATAATAACAACAACATTTTTTAAAATAATAACAACAACATTTTTTAAAATAATAACAACAACATTTTTTAGTATGGTAAAATAATAACATAAGTAAAATAATAAAATAATAACAGATTTATCAACAAAAATCTACTTATTCTGCTTTCAAATTTTTAAAGTAACATAAATTTCTTTATCACCTAAGTCTCAAAATATATTGCAACAAAATTTTAACATCCAATGTGAGATGACAATTTATTGTACAAACAAGCGCTATATGATTTTTTAATATATATCAGTATCACAAATGCTATCAGCATGTTATAATTATCCTATCAATAGTTCCTGGAGATTATTAAGCATCGCACTTTTAACAGATATTTTTTTGAAAAATATTATCTCCTAATGAATTAGTTTCATTTTATTAAGTTATTTTGTTATAAATTATTAAAAAAATTGTTAAAAATAATCTAAGGATTAAACTCAAAAACTAAAACAAAGAAAATTGAACACTAAAAACAGCTCATTCTAGTGTCATGACTTTTTAAATGTTTTAAAAATTTAAAAAATCATGTCCATATAAAAAATTTAAATTTTAGTGCAAAAATATTTTGATCATATTTGGTATTTAAAGCACATGACCGTATTGGTATTCAAAGCTTACGAGCACAATAAAACTGAGTAACTTAATGAACTAAATGAAACATAAAAAGATTTCCTAACATTTTGTGATAATATGAATTATTGCGGTTAAAATATGTTTAAAACAATGACTTTAATTTTTTTAAACTATACCATGTATCAACAGCAAACAGCTAGCAACAATTTACGTCAAAAAATTTTGACAAAAAAAAAAAAGATCTAATAATTTTTATTTCATATTCTTTAAAGAATCATTGAAAATTGCGCAGTTTTCTTTGTAAAATGTTTCTCTTGAGATATTTTATTAACCTACTAATAGTTATAACATTTATATTAGCGCTCAATTAATAATAATAAGAAAAATAACTTACAGCTGATGAGCATGGCATTAAATCGTCATGTACAATATTAGAACCATTTCTGTTTTCATTATCTACCCTATTATGAAGCTTGCATAGACTTCTAAACTGCTGCTGCTCCTCCTCTATATGCTCATTGCCTTCCATGAAGAGTTCAATACGACTTTTGGGTGCATATCCAAAATCCTAAAAAAAGTTTTGCTGTTAGCAATCTAAGCTTTTCAAGTTACACTAAAAATTATTAATTTCTGAAAAGGGTGACGTTTTTTTAGAAGAATGTTTTCTCTAATACTAGACCTAATGATTATATAAGGTAAAAGCTTTTAAAGAAAAACAAAAAGATGAAGAATAAAAAGTAAGATTAAATAAAAATAAAATAAACTGAAAATTTCTGGAATTAGCATTGTATTGTTTTGAGGAAAATGTCATCACCAAGACATCAATCCTAGAACCACTAAATGATTTATTTTTGTTTGCCCTATGGCAAATGGTGCACTATAAAAAATTTTTGTGAAGAAAAATGCATAATAACTTTTTTAAGCAGCAAAGAAGAAATAAGCTTACAATATTGAGACATAATTTTAAATTGGCTGCTAGAGCAGGGGTGGCCATACTTTTTACATATGGGCGAAAAAAGTTGAAAAATATGTTTGCAGGCAAAAAATATTTATTTCTACGAAATATAGGTATATAATAAA